TTGTCTAAACTAACTAAGGAAAGTTTTACCACGTCTTAGATTATGGTGTACCATTTACGTCGTCTGGTCTTTTAAGTACCGAACGTGACCTATTCTCGAAGATGTCTGTTTTGCTGAGTGTGAATTTGCATTGCTATAAGACATGGTCCAACATTCATGTATTTGGTTATGCTGTTGTATTTGTAATTCTGATCGAATATTGTTAAATGTCTTATTGTTTGTAGTTGTAATTCTATTTTTTTTATTTTCTATTTTTTCGTATGTAAAAGTATAGATACATAATCACCCAGTTCACTTGTAATATTTTAGTTTAAAGCAAATAAACGTACACGATTTATTTGTTTTACAGTTTAATTCAGAAGAAATACCGACATATCTAGATAATGTATCAAATTATCTAATTACTAAAACAATTCTATATTAATAGTCTTGTAATTGTTATAAAATACATTAAATACCATAATTTCAAACCTAATCTTGAACTACATTTTGTATATCAAATTGTTAGAAATTTGCCTGTGACATCACTTTTGTGGCGTCGATCTAGTCGTGTGAGAGACAATGCGTGGTTCCGGTGTGCTGTTTTTATGTGCTGCTCTAGGTTGTTTTACGTGTTCGTTTTTATTCTGTGGTTAGTCAGCACTTCGGTGTTGACATGAATATCAATTATATGATCATTTTTTTTTTTTATAAATTTACTGTTTGCAAAAGTATGAATTGTTCTAAATACTAAGGATTTTTCTTATCCCAGGCATAGATAACCTTAGCCGTATTTGGCGCAACTTTTTTGAATTTTGGGTCATCAATGCTCTTTAACTTTAAACTGACTATTTTGTACTGAGCTTCACTGATGAGTCTTATGTAGATGAAACGCGCGTCTGGCGTATTAAATTATAAGCCTGGAACCTTTGATAACTATTAGCATGTCGAAATGTATTATTGCGTAAACCCCTGAGGGTTTACGCAGTATATATTGGACGTCCTCCGTAGTCTTTCGGAACACGGGAAGTCTTTTCGGAATACATCTGTTCTTTTCTATGACCACCTGCGTAATAGGTAGTTAATTGATATAAATAAATATTCATTACCGTTATACGGTTGTTGAAGAGATAAGTGTTTATCGAGACTATAATATATATATTTGATATCCTCTGGGACTATTATACTAATATATTTCGTCCTAGATATCCTACATCAGTTACTGTAGTTAATTAATAGAAGATGATGTGTGAAGTTTTCTGAAGCACAAGCTGTGCTCCAATATGGGATAAGATTTTAGGTGAAAAAAGTGACTCTCAGTGAATAGATAGGGCGTTTTTATGATTTTAAAATTTTGCCATTTTAGCGAAATAAAAAAAAAGCGCAGTCCATTTAAGCAGCTTTTAAATTCTTAACAGAAAAAAGTACGGCCAGTAATTGCTCACCTCCACTTCATTTGAACTCTAGTGGATAGTTGTCTCTTTGGCAATCATACCGTCGCATATGTCCATATTTTTTATCATTGTTATATGAAAAAACAATGCCAGTTAATCCTGGAAATTAAGACGAAATTCAAAAGGCACCTTTTGGGTGTGCTAAATCAGTGAAATATTATAAGTGTCTGGCCAATTAAATGCAAAATTATGTTATATCAATACAGTTGATTGATGAAAACGCGTTAGACTATATCCTTAAAATTATTCTATAGATCTATATAAAACGATTCAAGAACACTGACTTCCTAATTCTTTAAAACTTATGGTCATTGCAATAAACAAAAATGTGATTTGATATATTTCTCGATGTTTGCCATCGAAAACTATTGTAAATAACTACCGGTATGTGGTTTTCGAGAAAAGATTAGCAATATTGTTTACGTACTTATTCAGTGATGATTATCTTATCAAGTCAGAGATCCGTTTGTCTTCTCTTTTGTTGTGGGGGAGGGGGTGGGGTGATGAGTTTTCAAAGGGACACTGACCTGTGTCGACTACCCTCTCCAAAAAATATAGTTCCAAATGGAAAAATCCATTCTTGTGCTTTTGTCATGTGAAACCCCTCCCCAAATAAACCTAGTTAAAACAAAATGTAGCAGGTGCACAGCTTTGTGTCTTATAAGTCTTATAGATGAAGTTTTGGGAATTCCGTCAATTCATTTAGAAGGATCGGCCGGAGTTGCGGCAATCTGTATTCATAAGTCAAGTTAGAGGGTCTAGTTGACAGAGGCCCAAGGCGTGTTTGGCGAAAAAATAGAACGGAATGTTATAAGCAAAATAAAAACACACGTAAAAAACCCAGCTTAATACAAATTATTTATCTTAAAATGAAAATCAATATCCTTATTCAAAGGACAGGCGGTCGCAAAAACAACATTTTTTTTTAATTGCGTACTGGACATGAACTACATGTATACTGCATTGGCCTGCTTCCTTCTCAGTTTCTATCACACAGCCGTTTAAAACAACAAAGCTACAGCATCTTTTTATTTGGGCTTATTTACAAAAGGACAAGCTAGAAATAAAAAAGTGAGATTTGTTTTGAAAAAGTATAAAGTTCCGGTTTTATACTGTTTCACTCCAAAAACTTGGTTTGAGTTGGTTGCCCGTGCATGGTATTTATAGTTTGATAAAAAATATCGTGAATATGATAGCCAATGACCAAACAACAAAACAACACCAATATTAAAAAAAAAAACATTAAATGTAATTATCTTTTTTTTTAAAAACGTATCAAACTTGTTTATATATATATATATATAAACAAGTTTGATACGTTTTAAAAAAAAATGGTTTAAGTGTGGGATTATCAAAAAAGTGTGCAGCTTAAAATTTTTAACTATTTTCAAACTGGCTACAAAAACAAATAATCATGATTAATTGATTAAATTTCTTCACATTTGCATTTGAACTTTAGCCTGAAAACTAACTCTTTTCTAAAAAAAAAAACCCCAGCACCTTAGAATGGAACATCCAGTGGGTGACTTAGCATGTTGTCTTTAGGGAGAGAGAAGATAAAAAAATGATTCCTTTAACAAGAATATTTCACTCCACATTGAACAGTAGTTACATTAAGTAAACAATCAATGTCAGTTTCTTATTCTTATACAACAAAAATAATATAAAACAATACATCTTTATTAACAATTATCTGATATTTAATGCCAAACAAGCATTTGGGTTTACGATTGCATTTCTTTTTTTAAAGAAAGCAACTTGTTGTATTGTTTATTTGTGTATTTCTCTGTCCCGAATGTTCATGCATTTATTTGTACTGTAGTCCTGTCATGTAATGTTATCATTTTAGTGTTATATTTTAACATTGCCATAAAAGCGCGAGGTTTGGATAGGCACAAAACCAGGTTCAACCCACCATTTTTTCTTAAAATGTCCTGTACTAAGTCACGAATATGGCACTTGATATCTTATAGTTCGTTTCTGTGTGTGTGTTACATTGTCGTTTGTTTTTATGTTACACTTTAGTGTTTCTGTTGTTCACTGTTTTCCTCTTATAAGTGATGTGTTTTCCTCAATTTAGTTTGTAACCCGGATTTTTTTTTCTCTCAATCGATTTATGACTTTCGAACAGATGTATACTACTGTTGCCTTTATACAAACTTAGATACAAAAAACCAACAAGTACATCGCAGGTCAACGTGGTAAACGTTTCATATTATACAGGCATCACTTGTGAGATGATTCCATTTGTTTATCTCGTATGCTTAATTTTTTTAACTTCATTTATATATTTCGGAGTTTAGTGTGACGTCCATTTTAACGGACCTGATACACATTTGTGTTTAAAAGCCAGGTGAAGACCGCCTCCGCGGATGCAGGATATTCTAGCTTTGTTGAAGACCCATTGGTGGCCTTGGGCTGTTTTCTGCTCTTTGTCCGGGGTGTTGTCTTTTAGACTCTCAATTTTTTCCACACTCAATTTTATACACAGTCAAAATTGATACAATCGGTTACTGTACACCATCTTATTTTAGCGAGCGATTCATTTTCGCGGTTTTCACGAGTAAAAAAAAACGCTAATATAAATCGTTGCGAGTATGTATAACTTGTATTTGTCCTAATTCGTCACATAAAGTTAATTTAAAAAAAAACGAAATTAAACCGCCGATTAATAGGCTATAAAGAGCTAAACGCGAAATAAAGTACCCGCGAACATAAGTGGTTTACAGTACTTCATAGCTAGATTACTTTTATTTAATATTTGAGTAGTGGTAAACATTGCGTTACTATGATTATTTCTGACGTTTAATTATGTTAACACATAATCAAACTATTTGTTACTACTTCAAAGATTTGTCGTTACCAAAATTGAAGAGTAATGTTTCTGTAGTGCATAACAACATGACAGGAAAGACATGGTATATTAATTCAAGTACATTTAAAAATAAAAAATAAATTTGTATTTTGATTGTTTTTTGTTTTGTTTTTTTACATATATCAGACCGTTAAGTATTCTCTTTGAATTGTTTTACATTTGTCCTTTCTGGGCCGATAAAAGCTGACTATGCGATGCAGGTTTTGCTCATTGTTAACGGTTGTACTGTGGCCTGTAGTTGTTAACTTCTATGTCATTTGATGTCTTTTGGAAAGTTGTCTCATTGGCAAATATACCACATCTTCTTTTTTTTTATTTATATCATATGAGTAAAGAAACAAGTCGAAAAGAAAAGGAATGCCCATTGTTTGTTGAAAAACACGTCCTCCAAACGTAACATATATGTTATCAATCATGAAATAAAGCATATTGGTAAATATTAATCAGTTTCAGAGAATTTTTGTTTGTATCAGAGTGATATTTTACAAAAAAAAGATTGATCCCTACCTTATACAAGATAACTGTTTCTACGGTCTACATTTTTTTTATGCAACAAACCAGACTAACTTTTCAATTTGTCTCATAGTTTGGAATTGGAAATTGGAATGTGTAAAGAGTAGAAAAGTCAAATGCTTTAATACTATTGTAAGATAAAAGAATCTTTGATTTTTTTTTACTCTAAAGTATCTTTGGATTTTTTTTATTGTACAATTCAAGCATAAAAGTTTAATAAAACAGTGGTTTTCATAAAAGTTTTAATTCTACACAATTGTTATTTCAATGTTATTCTTTTTTTCACATATTTTCAATGTGCAATAAAAGTGATGCGAAACAGCCACATATTCTCGATGATGGAAAGAAGACAATTATGGTAACATAACACAGTGTGTGAGAACAGAGGTGTGCTCCTCACAAGAAAAATTGTCCCAACATAGCTATCACGAAGAACAACTGAAATTGATAGAACAACTGAAATTGATAGAACAACTGAAATTGATAGAACATAAGTCGTGCGGTCAATATCACGAAAATGTTACAGGATGTCTTTATCTCAACTTACTAAACGACATGTTTTTGCAGTTTTAGATCTCATGTAACAATGACTCAAAACAATTCTAACTTCGAAAAAAATGGGGTCAATTAAAGTAAAATACACAGGAAAATTTAAATATTAGAATCTTATTGTGAAATTACGGAACATTTTTTTTTATATTTTACAAAATATAAAAACAAATGTTCACAGTACGAATACAGAAGTGAATATTTATCGTCATACACAATACTTATCAAATGGGTATATATTAAAAAAAAGTGAGACGAGATATAACACAAAACAAGTAATCATTGAATAACACAAATGCATTTCAAATTTGTCAACAGTTCAAATTAACACGAAAGTACGAATTGATAGTACTTGCAGTTACTGAAAGCTATTTAAAAACCAAACACAGTTGATAACAAAAAAAATCATATATCAGAAACTAAATGCAATTAAATTCCATCCCATGGGATTTAGTGTGCTAACGCCATGGACAGTCAAAGAAGTCATGACTTATGCAATGCCAAAATAAAAGTATCGACAGGCAGTAGGATAGTTAGGATTTAATCTTGTAATAAATATGTATCATGTTATATACGGATAAGGGAATCTCTATATAGAAAATAAACGTGAATGTGTATTTTAACATAAAAAAAAAACAATCGACAAGAATGCAAAAGTAATTATGTTTTAATTTGTTGATGACAAAATCGATATGTTTGCCAATGTAAATAATGTACAAAGATCGTATTACAACATTTATTAGATAACCTTTACTAATATTTTTGTTTAAGTGTCCGATGAGTTCACACGAATCATACAGTGATTTCCCCGCTTTTAGAACAATATTACTGTAAAATTTAGGATGTCAAATACCGTTTAAATGAGTTTTCTACAGATACAGCCAAATTTATTAATCAAATCTTTGTATCTATGAACGAATACATTACTTAAAACATTTACTAAAAATGTTTTAAGTAATGTATACAATAGGGAATGAAAAATCGTTTCTTTCATCGTAAATTCTAATATGGAGTTTATAATGCCTGATTTTGATTAACTTAGTAAGAAATGTATTCTGATTTCCTTTTCCCCCAGTAGGTTCACTCGGATAACTAATCAACCTTTGAGACTTAAGATAACCGCATATAAAAAAACTTCCTAGATAGAAACCACACTACACATTATTGATATAATATATGAATAAACATCAAAACTGTCAGTCGATTTCTAACTAAAATTAAGACTGTATGGTTTAGGTAATCGTGCAGAAACGTATATAAATTGTTTATTCACTGCATATTGGACCTTAATATTTTCTGCTTATTTTCCTCATTGAGAATAGTAAGGGGATATAAACTTCAATGACCGAACTGTTTGAAAAATGAGTTTATATTGTGATATTATAAAACAAAAAAAAGAAAACAGCACAATCACGTAGAAAAAAGAAACCAAACATAAAATTTGAAAAAAAAGATGCATAAATTACTTATCGAAAATTTGAAGTAAAATTTGTTTACCCTGATTTTTGCGTGCTAAAAATACAAAATAACCTCATAATAATATACAGAATAAAAGCCTCTACATTTCTCGTTTACAATTAAATTATCTGAGATATCTTCTTTCAAAGGTTACATTTGACATGTTTGAATCAAACAAATGATTTTATGTATATAATACAATCGTAATAAGAAGATACAAGCACAGAATGTTCTTTGTTTAAATAAAATAACTTATAAATGCTCGACATTTATGCCTAGAAATATCTTTGTTCACTAAAAAATGTTTTCTGTTATGTCGTAAATACCGTACACAGGACATTCACTATGTACCGTACTTTTTGTAACGTCCCGTCACCTTAATTTGTTACTATAGCTCATACATTTATCCGATTATCAAGACGTTAATCGAGCACGATCCAAGATGGGGGATCATCCCCTTACAACCTTTATTTTATTAACTATTCAATGGAATTTCTTCGACTGTTCGTATGGAACGTAACTGTGTATGACTTTGATGTAAATTATTGCTTTCTTCATTTTCCACATTAGACTTACCTAAAAATACATGTTTATATTCATATTATACACTTACATAAAAAGTGAAACATTCTAATCCCTCTTCATCTATCTGAAAATATATTTGTCTGATTTTCAAATGGAAACATGTTTCTTAACTTAAAGACAGATTGAAAGAATTAGTCAAACCCATCACCGAATGTGTACTGGGCATAAGCACCACTACAGTTATCACTTGTGAAGCTGTGGTTAGTTTTTTTTGTCGTTTTTGCTTTTGACAATGGCATTGTCTGTATTTTTTCAACTTGTGGTTGTCTCTTTGGTATCGTCTGTCTCCGTTTTCCTATTACAAGGATCATGGTCATGTTATTTATTTGTAACTTGAAGCAAGATGTACATTTTCAATGTTTTGTTTATGGCTGCACATAGAGGCGGATACATTTTGTTTCTTTTGAGAAAAAAGAGAAATTTTCATAAGCGTAGGTGTTTGGTATTGCTTTAAATTAAAGCATTTTTGCCTTTTATATGACAAACATATTCAATACAAATATGCAAATAAAGAAAATAAATTCAATCTTTTCCATAGATCATATAAACTTATCTCAAAATGTCTTGTTACCTTTTCCTAGGCTTTTTTTGGAATCATAATACTAAAACTTATGTATTACTTTAAACAACTTGCAAAATTTACTATGATAAACATATTTTGTATATAGCTGCACATACAAGCGGACATCATATCTTTTTTTTCGGACAGAAAAAAAAACTTACTTTCAGATTTCCGACATTTCCAATATACAATGATCACGACAAGAAGCAGAAGCAGTATGATCACGGGAATCACTAATGATTCATATATGGGTTTCACATCTGTATATGTAGGAAATAAAATAAAAGTGTTGATTATTTTTTTCTCCGCATTGTATAATGGAATGCAAAGGTGTTTTACGTAGGAATAGTTTCATTAAATGTTTCATTAACAGTTAGATGATTACAAAACAATAATGGTTTAAAGTGAGAACGATACATAAGTGTCTATCAAAACCATTAGTAGGAGAAAATATTGATACGTGTGATTCAAATTAAAAAGTAATCTGGAAAATTTTAACACTAGATACTATACAGCAGAGAGACAGGCTTAACTCTATGTAACAGTTGTAGGAAAAAGCAGGAAATACGCGAACTGTGAACACGATAATGATTTTTTTTTATCAATACGAAATCGTATCAAAATCCTTAGTGATATAAAAGCTGAAAAGCAGTTATTCCAGTCAGTATCATTTTAGTTCCACTGCATATACAGAAAAAAAATGAGAAAAACGATTTTTGTTTCAGTTTATTCCAAAAACGATTAATACCGTAAAAAACAGATCACATTTCTTCGTCTGGATTACGTTGTTCTGGATACTGAATAGATATCATAAACAAAACGACCTTCTATTGTCTCCAAATCTAAGTTTGACAGATTTTTTGGTGTTTTGTAGGTTGTTTAAAATTATTACTACCAATTAAAATATTGGGAATGCTAAAAGGTACAATTTAAAATTTACTACCCATAATTTGTAACAAAAAGTCATATGATTCTAATATATAATTATGTGATGTTCAATGGATTTTTTTAATTTTTATTTTTGAACAATACATGTACAAGTTGCAATATTCATTAGGGCAAAGAAATATTCCCATTCCAGTAACCCCCGATCAGCAGTGAAGAGCGTGATTTTCACGTGGTAAACAAGATAAAAAGTCCTTTGTTAGGTATTGGTAGCTGATTGGTTGCATAATCAAATTTAAAAAACAACTTTATACACGGTTTAAGCATGTTGATATTCAAATTAAATATATGCGTAAGCATATCTGTTTATCAACATAATCTACGGATGAACTGAATAAAACAAAGAATATGGTGTATGCTTGTCAAGGAGACAACTCTCCTTAAGAGACCAAAATGACAACGAAATTAACAACTATAGATCACCATACGGCTGTCAACAATGAGCAAAGCCCATACCGCATAGTTAGCTATACAAGGCTCCAAAATGACAAAAAAAACCAATTTAAACGAGAAAACCAACGGCCTTATTTAATTACAAAATAATAAACGAAAAACAAATATGTAACACAGCAACAAACGACAACCACTGAATTACAGGCTCCTGACTTGGAACAGGCATATACAGAATGTGGCGGGGTCCTCTAATGGTGTATAGCTTCCCCACATGACACATGAGGCCAAGATGAACCCGGAATGCAAATTCAAAGGGTCAAACACATGACAGGATGGTACTAGTAGTTAGTTTCCTCAGGAAAAATAAATATCAAAATTCCCACATTTAAGTCAGTTTTTTGCATCTTATAAATCTCAGTAAACTTGAGATTAAGGAGTTTACGAAAATTGTTTACTCTATACGTTATGTACAACTACAATTTTTTTATAGGCATCTTTGTCAATTTAATTTCAACTATACAAACGTGTTTGTTGGCGTCCTTATGAGATTTATTTGCATGTTTATTTGGAATTTTATAGTCAGCTGTGGTGTATGGCTGTTATGTATTTTTCAACAGTTTTGGCTGCTTGATTCTTATTATTGTCACATTAACGTAATGTATATGTTTGGGTTGCTCCTCCAATTGTTTCATTTTAACTGAACTAAACACAATGGTCATATAAGTGGGAGGTTTAACCTAGCATTTTATTCGGAAAATGCCTGTACCAAGTCGGAACTATGACAGTTGTTTTCCACTCGCTACCTTGGTTTATAACGTGTGATTTTGTCAGATTTTATGGACTTCCCGTTTTTGAATTAACTGTTTTTTGAATTGTTATACTAGAAAATCTGCTTCATATCTTGATTTTTTTCTCAGACATTGACATAGACGGATGACTGCAAACTAGATTCTATGTTGAACGTGATGATTTCAACCTTCCAATCGACATCTTCCTATTTTACAGCAGTAAAATACACTCTGCCCTCATCAAAACTCATGGAAAGCCAACGGGGTCAAAATTCCTAATTCGTAACTTGTCAATTTGTAACTTGTAACTGTGTAATTTCAAAATTCTTTATTCGTCAATTGTTAATTTGTAACTTGTAACTTTGAAATTTCAAAATTCTTAATTCGTAAATTGTCAATTTGCAACTTTGCTAACGATCATTATGACGACAGATGGCGCTCGGTTTCTTCTTCGGTGTATAAGCCTCCTGTAAGTAGGAGCACTTCCATATGGAATATACCAAAGTAATTTAAATCAATTATGTACAGCACACTGTCATACATATAAAAGAAAACAAATAGATAAATATATTGTTTGATTTATATGACATGTTTACCAGGGACTCGGTTTTATATAGAGGTGACCTCGAATAAACATGCATGTTTACTGTACTGGTCACCAAACCTGGGAGGGGTGTTTCCCTTCCTGTATTAAGGTATATACAGATGTGTCGCTGGAATCGGCTCCCTTATCAACTTCGCAAAATTACTGTCACTTGGCAGGAAATTTCTTCTTAATATTTGACCGGGTTAAAATTAGACCGTGGCTAAATACATGAAATATAAGACTGAGCTGGAAAATTCATACTAATATTGTTCTGAGCAGCAACTTTTGGACTAAATGTATGATGGGAGAAGTGGGTTGACACCCTTTATTCCTTAATTTGTCTTTGATCATTTGGCTCACTGCTTGACAGAACAGTCAGACGGAATACAACATGGTTTCGTCAATTGGATATTAGGATGATGCATCGTGGGATAGCGTCAGTTCTTGACATATGACATATGAAATGCAAATTTCAAAAAAAAAATAGCTTTATTGATTGACATCGTGAATCAACTGTTAATTAACGATCCAATCGACGAAATATTAGATTTGGTCAGGTCGCCAGGCTTTAAGGAGAGGCGGCAACTAGAGGGGTTCATACCGGGAGTACTGGGCGTTAAGCAGCAATTGAGAGGGAATCGGGAATATTTTGGTTTTTTTTGTTGTAAATTTTTATAGAACGAAAAATCAGGTAGCGGCAATTCCTTAGCTCCTTGACAAGAAAAGTTCAGTAGGCATGTATATTAATATATATATATATATAAATATATATATATATATATATATATATATATAAACAAGTCTAAATTGAAAACAACGTTCAAACCTATGATTGCGTTGGATAAAAACCGCAATTTTTATACGTGTGCATGCAAAACAAATTTCTTGGTAGAGGGGTCTAAATACAGCACAAACAACATTTTCCAAAAGACCAAAAAGGTGGAAAAGTATATTTTAACAAAACGCATTTGACTAACAGGTCGAACAACTGATGTTCTTAAACCATGCTGACTGCCATTGGCGATTGCCAAATAAACGTATCACCAGATGTAAAAAATGGATCTTAATTATTAATTTAATACCAAACAGAAAACAATAAACTTGCGGTAAAGATGGTATACTGCAAACATGAGGTGCACAAAATTGTACACCATATCCGGATTTCGACAATTAATGTCTCTTCAGTGATGTTAGGAATCGAAACGGTATTTGGAAGGCCATATAATTTACCTCAATTTAGGATAGACTCTTGAATTTTGAAGAGTCGAAATAGGATGAATGGATCATATAAACCCGATGGAAAATATAATACAAGCCCAAACGAAAAAATACAAACAAGTCTAAATTGAAAACAACGTTCAAACCTATGTCTGTCAGCCCTTCCCCTCCTGTCAGAATAAAATGGTCCGATAAAAGCATTTGAGGATTAATAGAAATCGTTTATTACCTGGGTTTTCTAGTAATGATGTAGCATTTTATAGCCGACTATATGGTATTAGGTTTTCTCATTGTTGAAGGCCGTAATTTGCCTATAATTGCTTACATCGAATTTATTTGAACTTTGATGGATAGTTGTCTCATTGGCAATCATACGGTTTATTACCACATCTCCTAATTGTATTTACCCGAATAATGCAGTAGTTATATTCCGCTGACAAACGACTACTTCATTAACCTCGCAATTAGGAGAGATAGATTATGTGGAGGGAATGAAATATTCGGGATGAATTTTTATATAGTTTCCGTTCTCGAACGAAACGCCACCTGTCGTCTTCAGAAAACAAAATAAAACTGGAATGCTGTAAACATGCAATTTTTTTATTTTGCTTTCTTTTAGATGCATTTGTTGTACATAATTTATTTAAATTACTAGGTTTATACTCCATATGAATGTGCTCCTACTTATAGGAGGCTTATACACCGAAGAAGAAACCGAGCGCCATCTGTCGTCATAATGATCGTTAGCATAATACAACGATGACATTTAACACATCGACATTTAAAGAATCGACATGTTACAAGTTACAAAACATCAATATACAAATTGACAACTTACCAATAAAGAATTTTGAAATCACACGGTTACAAATTACAAATTGACAATTTACAAATTAAGAATTTTGAAATTACAAAGATACAAGTTACAAATTGACCATTTACGAATTAAGAATATTGAAATTACAAAGATACAAGTTACAAATTGTCAATTTACGAATTATTAATTTTGACCCCGTTGGCTTTCCATAAAAATGATATGTTACAAAGATTTATATTCACACTATCTATACGGACATCATTAGCAGGGTTGTGATTCTGCTTCAACAGAGTTATCAGGATGAACAACAGAAATCAGCACTATATAATTTTTACGGTCAACATTTCTCTTAAATCTTAAGATACCAGAGTAGTCATCTAATCTGTAATTTTACAATCGGTAAGAATTTCTGAACAGTCATAACACATGTAATTCATTTAGTGGTCATCTTTATTGCAGTTTTTAAATTATAAGTAATACAGGCTTTGTTACGTCTTTTGATGTAAAAACTCGCTGTTCAATCTGAGTAAATGCATACTAAAAGACTGTTGGATACATCGTAGCTTTTTCTTTGGTAATCATTCCACATCTCATTTGTGTTACCATTGGATTCTAATAAGATTTTGAGTGAGTCGGTTGAGTTAAGGCATTATTAAATTCCTTCAAAAATAATCATTGCAGATACGATAATAATCATATTTATAGTATTAACAGTACCAATTTTACTGCACCAGACAGGCATTTTGACAATTATCGTATCTTCAGTGATGCTCAATGTCAACATATTTAATAGTCGAAATTCTTATACAAGAGGTCAAACTCGGACAAGGAATCGGAAGCATGAAAAAGCTACATTCCTAAATTATGTCCTTACAATCTTTCCATACCGTGTTACAATTATAAACATTCAGTTAGTTTACCTATATCATTTTCGTATAACACACGAACATGTAGTACCCTTTACACATACACAGTTTGCTAGTTTGCTTGTGCAGATAATTAAAATAATAGGACAATAAAGTAATAGATAATATATATGATCTAATTATAACAGTCACAATAAGAAATGATAATAACACAGACATACTTACCATAATCGAGGTTACAAGTATATACATTTTGGTAGTTCGTACGTAAACTCTTTTTTTCAAAGGTACAGTTGAAAAACCAAGTTATGTTGCATTGTTGATGAACCGCCGTTGTATCCTCATATACAATTTTATAAAATGTATCATTTTTATTTTCGTTTTCATTTGCTCTTAATATTTTTGTCAGACCCTGCGAAAAAAAATGTGAGTTAAATTATAATGCCAAAAAAAAAAAGAAAATAATAAAAAAAAAACATTATGAATGTCATTCTTTCTATGAGCGGATGATACGGGTATTGAATTTTTCTTCAACAATTTAAAAATACTAAAGGAGTAGGTTCACGAAGGGTCCGTATTGCTCCTAAATATCCATGACATTTAACTTTAGCAATAAGAATAAAAATTCGAAGATAGAATGTGAAGATATATCTGACAAATGCAAAGTCAACAAGCTTTTGATGCATTAAAACAATTATGATGTCATCATAACGTCATAACTGTGCTTTCTAATGAAGACAATGTAAATTTTGATTAACATTTCAAATGACATTGGCCACATACAAAGACCGCCATAATTGTTTTTTAGGATGTGTATTTGACCCATATGCATCTGTTTATAACAATAATGCATGTCGGTCGTAGGTTGTGGCCAATGTTTGTAAGAAGGAACCCTGCAGAAGCAAAAAAAAAAAAAAAAAAAAAAACCGCAAAAAAAAAAACCAAACAAACCGCAAAAAAAAAAAAAAAAAAAAAAAACAGGCAAGTAGGCTTAAAACTAGTGAAATGTAATATTTTTGAAGCTGTCAATATTGTTAAAACGAACAGCAGACAACACACGTGTCTTCTTTTTCTAAATTTTTATATTGGAGATCGTAACTATAGATTTTTATATATGGTATACGAAAGTTGGATTTTCAGGACCAATTTGAAGCCATCGTGGGTTTACTCCTTGTTATTGATTCGTTACATATTGACATGTGACATATGTTTTTGTACTTATTTTCTTTTTCTAAATGCTTAATTCCTTTTTGTAATGCATATTTTTTTGTTATAAATGCTTAATTTCTGTTTAATGCTCAATTTCTGTATAAGAGTTCATTCTGTTTAATAGATATGCTTAAACCGATGGATATCTTTTGAAAACAAGTTGTGTTTTCTTGTATCCAACTCTGAACATTTGAATTTGCTTTGTAAAATTTTTCTTCAGATTAATATAATGATTGTTCAGTTGAAGTTAACTTATATGCTAAAATGATATACAAGGCATATAACGCAAGGGCCTTTGGTTGGTAAACAACAACAAACAGTTATAAAATTGTTGTTAACAATGACATGTATTATAATAAACTTAAAAACTTACATTGTATTGCAAATAACAAGTTGGTAAAGGATGTATCTTCATGATTGTCAGATTAACACGTATTGCGTTATCTTTAAAGTGGCTGTTGTCAATAATTTCATCATCTAAAGGTATATCTAAAATTGATATTTAAAAAGGAAAATAAATATATTGTTGGGTTGCTGTCTGATAGACATATCACACATTTGATTCCTTTATGTTCTTACAAAATCCTTATGGGAGCTTTTTCATAGTATCTGACGAAATATATAATAATGTCGTTAACATTTCTTTTGGTATAACCCTATGGTTGACTAGGGGCGAAGTTATATGGTCTCTTTGACTTTCGTTACTGTGGTAAAACTCATGGTATTGTGCAGTGCATGTTCATTTGGCCGTGCTGGAAGCACAAATAGCCAAAAACATCTGGTCGAAATATGGATGGTAAATCGGATGCCCAGGTAGATTCAGCGCCACTATCTCTAAACGTTAAAGAAACCGTGATACATTTACTGAGGCCTGTAGCAAGAACAAAATTCTGCGCCTATTCAACAAAGCTTAAAGTTCTAATGGCAGTGAAAATTTCTCGCCCTTCATCCCGGTTTCTATCATTATTACACTCTTAGTTACACCCGGTGTTGCGGTCATAAAAGTTTTGAGTACGATTATCGTACTCAGACTCAGACTTCAACCAATCAAAATACTGGATTTGGTGTTTCAAGGACAAATTTTGTACTCCGAGTATTGAGTAAAGTTTTATGACTGAGGATTCAGGTCTAACTCCGTTTGGAGGTAATAAGATTCCCTTATTTTTGTTCTATTGTGTTTGACTTAATATGAATTTGGCTATTCTTTTTCTGTCGGTATTGGTAATATGGATCCTAAAGTTTCTACGTATTCATACAAACCTGAACTTAATGTTTCGGTATGAGCATTCTTATTGAAAGTAAATTCAGAAAAGCGCTTCAGACACACAAAAAAGCATGAAGTGTTATTTTCATTGTTTAATCTGAATGGAGTCACAAGTTTTAACACCAACAAAATACTGTGGTCTGCAGTTTATGTTCTGAGTTTGCGAAACAATGCTTCTTCGTGTATTATGAAAACTTCAAAAACAAAGAATGCTTATGTATCATTAAGCCTATCAAATGATTTTCTTTAAGGCATGGACCATTTGACTTTCTGGGGGGGGAGGGGGGGGGCTGGGTTTTTATATCAAGCCAGATTTTTTTTTATCATGCAAACCGAGCAAGAATATTTTTTTTCAATCAATCCAAAGCAAGAACATTTGTTTTCAACATTTGAATGAAATATGACGAGTCCAGAACCAATCCTATATATACTAATACAATACATACTGTACTCTAAGTATTTGATTTTTTTTCTAAGACTCTTATTCTATTTTGTCCAATTCGATATTTTATCATAAATGTCTCCAATATCCAAGCAATTAAATTCTATGCGCATGGATGCTTTGAACTTTCCTTCTCAACTGAATATTTTAATATTTAAGAGGCTAAGGATACCTGATGAGGAAAAGCCTTGATAGTTAAACCTTAACCGAAACACCTAAAACAACAAATATTTACAAAGAAGACATTTATGCTAAAATATCGAATTGGACAAAATAGAATAAGAATAAAAATCAAATACTAAGAGTATGTATTAGTATATATAGCAGGGGCGATTCCAGCCATTTTTAATACCATTTTGATTAAGTAATATTATATGTACAAAGTTTAATATACTCACACACATGTCCAGCTTTATTTAGCATCAGCATGGCTGTATAGTGCGCTTTTCCACATAGACATGTATATTCGTTGTTAGCATCAGCTTCGGTGAAGTTTTTTACTCTTAGTTCAAAGTTAAGAGTTGATTTATATACGTTCATTGTGTATTTAGACTTATCTGTTGTATGTCCGTTTAATCCAATTAACTTGTACCCCTGGCCCCCAGTCCACTGTTTTGTCTGATCTATTCGACATGCATCTTCCGAAACAATACATTTTATCACAACGTCTTCGCCAAATATAATGGGAACTGTTTGAACTTTCCAAACGACTAATATATCAATTAAAAATGTATCATGTTAATTGCAATATATTATACAAGTTACGAATGTCGTTTAAACAGAAAACAAATTATACACTTCTATAAAGTTTTTATTATGTGCAGAAAATTTCTTCAAAAACTGTTACGATAATACTTAGTCTAGTGTCTGCTCTTACGGGTTATCAACAAGGGTGGCTGGGGGTAAGGAATATGGTAACATTTTGCCTTCTACCAACAAACAGTAGAATCCTTGCCAAAGTGGTGCGTCTGTGTACATAAACTTATCATATAAACCAGGCTGAAAATTGTGTATGCCAGACGCGCGTTTCGTGTACAAAAGCTTAAGACTCGTAAGTAAAGCTTGAATCAAAATGACACAGACAAAATAAAATACTAAGTTGAAGAGCATGATTCCGCTTTTGCAAAATAAAGTTAAGGTAATGTATTCCTAGGATAGAAAATCCTTATTAGTTCAAAAATTCAAAGTTTTGTGAACAGTTATTATATAATTATGACAACATCAGTGATAATTAATGCCAACATAAAAGTGCTGACTACTTGGCTGGTGATAACCTTGGAGAGGAATCTTCCACCAGCAGTGTGTGTGAGAGAGAGAGAGAGAGAGAGAGAGAGAGAGAGAGAGAGAGAGAGAGAGAGATTTGAGGGGTCATTTTTCAAGACTAAATTTTGGGTTGGTTCTAATATACCCTCATTTGGCAGTGGCAGTTACTTTTTCCTGGGCTTAATCCTGGATGACTTTTATTAGTGACGATTCACTTTGTAAATAAAACTTTCGAATTAATCATGTTAATAAATGATTAAAATAAAACACAACAAAACCCCCCCCAAAAAATAACAAACCCTGCATTCATTTCTTATATTTACAGATTCTGAATTTGAAAATAAAGCTTTCAACAAAAAAATCGTTGCAGACAAACATGACAAGTGTGATATACCGAGTGAACTCATATGTTCGTCATAAAGGTGCCATTTGCATTATGTAGGTGTTCATTCACGTGTAGCTTATAAAATATTTATTCAATTGCAACAATACTTATGTTTTGTAATATATTACAGAATAAAGTCAACAACATTTTCAAGCAAATATAGGAATTTTGTAAACATTAATCGTTTAATGCAAGTATAGGAACAATGAAAATAGTATTGTTAATCAGGTGCTTGAAACTTATGTATCTATTATTGGGTCGCTTATACTTAAATTTGAAACATATAACAGAATGAGTTGATTTTTATTGCAGCTACTAAAAAAAATAATCACTTAGTATTTGTATGATCTGGACACTTACTGTAAATATCATTATTTCTTTAACAAAAAATAATGGCTCATCTCAAGTGATCGAAAAAAGTGCTTTGCTCCTTTGAAGACATTTATCAAAGTGATAGCAAGAGAGTTACCCGAGTCTTGAATATGATTTAAAAAAAGTTATATAACACTGCTCCATACAGAAAACCCATAGTTTAATGCATCTTTTGTTAACCTATCAAATAAGAATTATAGTTTATAATATATGAGCAATTCAAACCTCAATTTTGTTCATAGATTCCATAACAACAACGTATTTTGAAGTTTCAGGGGTATTTTTGTTGTTGTATGTAAATGATATTACTTTCCGTCCGCATATCTTCACAAACCAAAAAGTATTAAGTATTAATAACAATAATACAATAACAATTATAAAGAAGGAAACATTAAACAATTCCAAAAATTGTCTTGTGTGTAATTATTTAATAATTACAGACTAAAGTGTTTTAGGTAATACATTGACTTTGCGTCTATCCTCTCAAGAATTTTCGGGAAAAACACTATGCGATAACAGAATCGCTCTCCGGTTTGTAAATTTTAATGAAAATCTAACAGCAACAATTCCTTTACACGAACATGTATCTTAAAAACAAATGCTACTAAAAGAAATTGATCCATGTGTTTACTTCCCAAAAATAAGAGACGTTTTTTCATAGTAAGCGGTCACTATAATTTGATTGAAATATTTAATTCATGAAAAGTACATTGACGCTTCTCGCTTGTCGATCATTGAATACGCTAAGGTCGTGCTACAATGTATGTATAATTAATCACTAAACGCGAAGCTTTATACAAGAGGGCCATATTTATTTCATGAATCTGCCAATATCGATGAAAGAGTTTGTTGAAATAAGACCAATGAGAATAAATTATAAACCCATCTTACCTGATGTCTGTGTCGGAATGATACCGACAATATAAAGTAGAAGGGCAAAATGTCCATATGTCAACATTCTGGAAAAAAAACAATAAGAAAGCATGGAGTCAGTATCACTATAAGTACAAAGGGATTTGAATAATAAATAACCAAAAACGTTTCGCTTCTGTTTTGTTGAAAGATATAATAGATACAAATGGTGTAGGGCATACGTTAATGGACCAGCGACCCAGCAACCCAACATCACAAAAAAAAAAAGAACACAATGAACAGTCTTCAACAATAGAAAGGTTATAAAATACAATAAAAGCATTGAATAAAATTTAACGGAAAAGATCAACGCCGATTGCGGATACCATGAAGGTTTAAAAAGGAAAGGTAAAACATACATAAGAAATAAGACAATTAATTATAAGTTACAATCAGCTTTGCCATCTCCCCCCCCCCCCCCCCTTTTTTTTTTTTAATAAAACTAATACTTAAAAGATTTGTTAAAATCATAACTTGTTTCTAATTTTAACAATTTACCCGATATTATTCCCGTTTTTGTGATTTTGGACATATATGAAACAAAGGAATGTTTCTCTGAATTAATACTTTCATTCTTTCACAATTTTTATATATTTATATCTAAAAAACATAATATTTAACATAAGTGTTTCTAATTTGCAATTGTTCCAACATAGCCAGACATACATGTACAACAATGGAAGGCCAATACTTCATAGCTAGTTGCGATTATCTATTCAAAGGGTTTGTTCGGGAGCAGTCATTCAAAATTCACTGGGGGAGAGGAAGGATGTATATGTTGTGTACAAGTTATCATTTTGTACAAATTATAATTTGGACACAAAAAATGTACAAATTATAATTTGTATTTTGACTTTGTACATATTACAACTTGTACAAAAAGTGCCTGTACAAATTTCAATTTGTACAAAATTTGACTAAAATTCACATATAAATTTTGTTATAAAAAAGCATTGATACACACAATAAACCTTATTTACAAAACACAAAAGTACCGAGGGGGGAGACAGGAAATGCAACTGATACATGCATGCCAGTAAATTCTGATAGTACAATAGAAATTGGCCTAACTGACAATTCTGAAATAATAAGAAAAGTTGAACCCAGTGACAATTCTGATAGTATATATAATAGAAATTGGCCCAGTGACAATTCTGATAGTATATAATAGAAATTGGCCCGAGTGGCTATCAGGATGACACTGACATTCAAACACCAATAATGCATGCCAGGAAGCGTGAGCAGTCTGGCCACCAGATCCAAGCCGAATATCTAACCAAGAAAACGAAACGGAAATTATCAGAACTTGCTGTTGGGAATAATGTCATTATACCAATTCCTCAGTATGATCGTGCCCCAAGTGATCCTCGAAATATCTTAGGTGTACAAAATGATAACTTGTACACAACATATATATATATAAGGGAGCAAAATGGTAAAAAATATCAGGGTCAAAAGTTAAAACAATCGGGATGAACAATTAATGCTCCAACAAAATAGGCAAAATATATCTTCTCATTTTTATATGATGAATATGTCAACGCAACGTAAATGTTTGAAATTATACCATATTTAAATGTGCATGGAGCAAACTAATTGTAGCCCATATTCATGAGTCTAATTTGAATACAGTTGACAAATAAGTTTGTTCCCAGGTTGAGTTTATCTCTTAATACAGACTTCTCATAAGCTTCTCCAGAATAATAAAAAAAAATCTTGCATCGACTTACATTTACGTTCCGCTATTTAGATGATGTCCTTTCACTGTATATTTCAATGGTTGATGATTTGGTGATGCCATTGAACTTGAAAGGAAGGATATCACAGACACAGTTTAATCTGATTCATTTCTTGGAAAGTACATCTACAAAATGACAATGAAAATCGGTTAAGAACTAAAACATGACGGCAAATGACATAATGCGATTTGCTAATATAAACTTTCCGTTTCAATGTAGCAATATTTCAGCTCTGCAGATGGAGTAAATATCTCATAGTCAATATGATAGTCAACTGCTGGCGTTTCCTACTAAGATTTCCTTTGAAGAGGGGTATTAATGAATCATAGGTTTTAAATAGTAAGTTAAGCCATTCCTTCGAAAATTTAACGGACGCCATCATAATTGGTATACCATTTATGAATACATAACTGTGTTACAGATACCAGTGAATAAGTTCCCTTTATTGTAGCTATATTCCATTACTTGAAAGTGACCACACTGGATGGAACTTGTTATCAAACGTTTGCTTACTAAGAGTATCACAACGAGTTCTAGTTGAGCACATGAGTTTAACCCTAGTTTTCTGTTAAAAGGGTCCAAGTTGGGTTTGCCACTGACGATTGTACCTTACAAAAACAGTTTTATTTCTGTCTGAAAGAATGCTAAATTTAACCATTAAATGTTCTAAGAGTTAACAGAGAAAATACAATATATTTAACAACAGGTGCAAACATGACGTCATTTACCGGCAAATTACAAGCTTAAAAAGTGCTTATGGCGCCATGATAAGCTTCTGGTGTTTCTCGCAAAAATATATACTATCCATTCACCATGTACTCGTTTCAGTATCACCAGAGACGTCCGAAATTGTGACATAGCTTGTACTATTCTTATGTATCAGCCCTATCTCGCAAGCAAATTATGCGTTTGTAATGCTAGGTTATCTGTAAATGGGATTTTTTCCTTCCAAACGAGACACACCTTGTAAAATCTTCTTGAATATACCATTATACGGCAACTTATTTATTTTCAAATATCCTACCTGTTCCCATAAATAATGTTTCATGAATGCCTTAAAAATATTAGATCGGTGGACTTTAAAAATATATTCATGGATATTTTGAAATCTAAATCTACTTTCATTTTAAGATCGTTAACACTCCGCTGATCCGTTTAAATGTTTATCTTGTAACTATTGTATTGAGGTTGAAAATAATATTTTCTGAAAATATAATTTTAAAAAATGTAGAGTTTTTCTACCCTCAGACATAAATGACCTAGCCATATATTTGGAACAACTTTAACGTAATGGTTTAATTTTCAATATTCTTCAACTTTGTATTTGATTTGGTCTTTTTGACTGTTTTGATTCGAGCGCTACTAATGAGTTTGATATAGACGAGACGCGCGTCTGGCGTACCAAATTATAAGTTATAATGATTTTTTTTAAATTTATATTTATATATAATATATATAATTTTTATTTGTCCGTCTTGATTCAGAACATCAATTTAATTTCTCTTTTTTTTATGAAGTTTTTTGAAATTGAGCTTTTCATTGATACATTATTTTTATTTTATTTTTTGTAGCATTTGTCCTCTAGTTTTTGTCTCTGGCGTACTTTAGATGTCAGACCACCAATTCATCCCCTCCAATTTTGAACATATGTAAAAGTGGTCCTTTTTTGACAACAACTGTGTTTTTGATGTTATTGTTTAATTAAATTAACCAACACATTTGCAGAAATGAAACTTTCGGTGAAAGAAAAATATATTACGACCATTTTGAGCCAACATTTACTTGTCCATCAGTTTGCATTAAAAAATGAGGATTAGTGCGCTCCATAGTAAACTTATTTAAGATTTCCAAAAAACCAGGGGTTATTTTCAGAAATAATTGGCCTCCGAACGGGTTTTATTTTATTACAAGACTTTAAAGATTGGTTGAAAATTGGCATGTAGAAAGGTGATAAATGAAAAAGCATAATTTTCATAGTTGAAAGGAGTGAAAAGATACGTAGGAAATCGTTTTATGACCTCTTCAAGTTGTCTTAAACTCTCGCTGTCCTTGAATATAAACCCTTAATTTTATCAATGCTTATGTAAGTTGCATATTTGTCTTAATGTAATATAAAAAATAATAATAATAATACATCAAAACTGTAAAATTATATCTAAAATTTCTTAAAACAAAAACAAAAACCGATCACTCTAGAAACATTTAAAAATATAAATAGAAATATATATGGAAAGCCCAAAAAAAAGAAATATATAGCGAAAACCTACTTAAGACCGCTTAAATGACGGTGAGACCCCCCTGTTCTTTCAATGTCCATAAAATTCGACGATTTCATAGACTCTGTATATATAAAGATTGTGTCAAAAGGATTTCCCAGAATAATGTCATCTTCGATATCTACGGAGGGCTAAGATTGTCATTTTTCTGCTAAAAATTGTCAAAATTTCAGGACAAAGGGCACAGGGCAATGGTGAGAGCCCCCTGATCTCTTAATCTGCCTAATATTAGGCAGACAGTTAGTTAATAGGTAGAAACAAACGCAACTAAAAGGAATTTGGGTACAGTGAGTGTCTTCTATGTTTACGGAGGGCCCAAACTGCTATAGTTTGATATTCAAAATATATAGCGAAAACCTACCTGAGACCGCTTAAATGACGGTGAGACCCCCCTGTTCTTTTAATGTCCATACAATTCGACGAATATATAGACTCTGTATATATAAAGATTGTATCAAAAGGATTTCCCAGAATAATGTCATCTTCGATATCTACGGAGGGCTTAGATTGTCATTTTCTGCTAAAAATTGTCAAAATTTCAGGACAAAGGGCACATGGCAATGGTGAGAGCCCCCTGATCTCTCAATCTGCCTAATATTAAGCAGACAGTTAGTTAATAGGTAGAAACAAACGCGACTAAAAGGAATTTGGGTACAGTAAGTGTCTTCTATGTTTACGGAGGGCCCAAAGTGCCAATTTGATATTCAAAATATATAGCGAAAACCTACCTAAGACCGCTTAAATGACGGTGAGACCCCCCTGTTCTTTCAATGTCCATAAAATTTGACGATTTCATAGACTCTATATATATAAAGATTGTATCAAAAGGATTTCCCAGAATAATGTCATCTTCGATATCTACGGGGGGCTTAGATTGTCATTGTTATGCTAAAAATTGTCAAAATTTCAGGACAAATGGCACAGGGCAATGGTGAGAGCCCCCTGATCTCTCAATCTGCCTAATATTAAGCAGACAGTTATTTAATAGGTAGAAACAAACGCGACTAAAAGGAATTTGGGTACAGTAAGTGTCTTCTATGTTTACGGAGGGCCCAAAATGCCAGTTTGATATTCAAAATATATAGCGAAAACCTAACTGAGACCGCTTAAATGACGGTGAGACCCCCTGTTCTTTCAATGTCCATAATATTCGACGATTTCATAGACTCTGTATATATAAAGATTGTATCAAAAGGATTTCCCAGAATAATGTCATCTTCGATATCTACGGAGGGCTTAGATTGTCATTTTTCTGCTAAAAATTGTCAAAATTTCAGGACAAATGGCACAGGGCAATGGTGAGAGCCCCCTGATCTCTCAATCTGTCTAATATTAAGCAGACAGTTATTTAATAGGTAGAAACAAACGCGACTTAAAGGAACTTGGGTACAGTAAGTTTCTTATATGTTTACGGAGGGCCCAAAGTGCTAGTTTGGTTTCAAAATATATAGCGAAAACCTACCTGATACCGCTTAAATGACGGTGAGACCCCCCTGTTCTTTCAATGTCCATAAAATTCGACGATTTCATAGACTCTGTATATATAAAGATTACGTCAAAAGGATTTCCCAGAATAATGTCATCTTCGATATCTACGGAGGGCTTAGATTGTCATTTTTCTGCTAAAAATTGTCAAAATTTCAGGACAAAGGGCACAGGGCAATGGTGAGAGCCCCCTGATCTCTCAATCTGCCTTATATTCAGCAGACAGTTAGTTTATAGGTAGAAACAAATGCGACTTAAAGGAATTTGGGTACAGTAAGTGTCTTATATGTTTACGGAGGACCGAAAGTGCGAGTTTGATATTCAAAATATATAGCGAAAACCTACTTAAGACCGCTTAAATGACGGTGAGACCCCCCTGTTCTTTCAATGTCCATAAAATTCGACGATTTCATAGACTCTGTATATATAAAGATTGTGTCAAAAGGATTTTCTAGAATAATGTCATCTTCGATATCTACGGAGGGCTTAGATTGTCATTTTCCGGCAAAAAATTGTCAAAATTTCAGGACAAAGGGCACAGGGCAATGGTGAGAGCCCCCTGATCTCTCAAACTGTCTAATATTAATCAGACAGTTATTTAATAGGTAGAAACAAACGCGACTAAAAGGAATTTGGGTACAGTAAGTGTCTTATATGTTTACGGAGGGCCGAAAATGCCAGTTTGATATTCAAAATATATAGCGAAAACCTACCTGAGACCGCTTAAATGACGGTGAGACCCCCTGTTCTTTCAATGTCCATAATATTCGACGATTTCATAGACTCTGTATATATAAAGATTGTATCAAAAGGATTTCCCAGAATAATGTCATCTTCGATATCTACGGAGGGCTTAGATTGTCATTTTTCTGCTAAAAATTGTCAAAATTTCAGGATAAATGGCACAGGGCAATGGTGAGAGCCCCCTGATCTCTCAATCTGTCTAATATTAAGCAGACAGTTATTTAATAGGTAGAAACAAACGCGACTTAAAGGAACTTGGGTACAGTAAGTTTCTTATATATTTACGGAGAGCCCAAAGTGCTAGTTTGTTTTCAAAATATATAGCGAAAACCTACCTGAGACCGCTTAAATGACGGTGAGACCCCCCTGTTCTTTCAATGTCCATAAAATTCGACGATTTCATAGACTCTGTATATATAAGGATTACGTCAAAAGGATTTCCCAGAATAATGTCATCTTCGATATCTACGGAGGGCTTAGATTGTCATTTTTCTGCTAAAAATTGTCAAAATTTCAGGACAAAGGGCACAGGGCAATGGTGAGAGCCCCCTGATCTCTCAATCTGCCTTATATTCAGCAGACAGTTAGTTTATAGGTAGAAACAAATGCGACTTAAAGGAATTTGGGTACAGTAAGTGTCTTATATGTTTACGGAGGACCGAAAGTGCGAGTTTGATATTCAAAATATATAGCGAAAACCTACTTAAGACCGCTTAAATGACGGTGAGACCCCCCTGTTCTTTCAATGTCCATAAAATTCGACGATTTCATAGACTCTGTATATATAAAGATTGTGTCAAAAGGATTTCCCAGAATAATGTCATCTTCGATATCTACGGACGGCTTAGATTGTCATTTTTCGGCAAAAAATTTTCAAAATTTCAGGACAAAGGGCACAGGGCAATGGTGAGAGCCCCCTGATCTCTCAAACTGTCTAATATTAATCAGACAGTTATTTAATAGGTAGAAACAAACGCGACTAAAAGGAATTTGGGTACAGTAAGTGTCTTATATGTTTACGGAGGGCCGAAAATGCCAGTTTGATATTCAAAATATGTAGCGAAAACCTACCTAAGACCGCTTAAATGACGGTGAGACCACCTGTTCTTCCAATGTCCATAAAATTTGACGAATTCATAGACTCTGTATATATAAAGATTGTATCAAAAGGATTTCCCAGAATAATGTCATCTTCGATATCTACGGAGGGCTTAGATTGTCATTTTTCTGCTAAAAATTGTCAAAATTTCAGGACAAAGGGCACAGGGCAATAATGAGAGCCCCCTGATCTCTCAATCTGCCTAATATTAAGCAGACACTTAGTTAATAAGTAGAAACAAACGCGACTAACAGGAATTTGGGTACAGTAAGTGTCTTCTATGTTTACGGAGGGCCCAAAGTTCCAGTTTGATATTCAAAATATATAGCGAAACCCTACCTAAGACCGCTTAAATGACGATGAGACCCCCTGTTCTTTCAATGTCCATAAAATTTGACATATTCATAGACTCTGTATATATAAAGATTGTATCAAAAG